TATATATACCTATATGTATATGTATATTTCTCACACCTGGCGACATTGACGGGACGCAAACATTTTTTCGTTATGTTTGAATTTTGCTATGTGCGTGTTTTGAATTTAAAGGAAATGCCTGTATGTAGGAAATTATCGGGACCTGAAAAATTTGTTCGCCATGTGTGTGTTTCACAATGCGCACGTTCGCTATGTGTGTGTTGGACTGAAATTAGATCATGAGTTTTATTGTGGCACCACTCTTTGGTCAAACAAGACGCTATTTCAGGTTATTTCATGGTGCAGTTTATGCTGTCAGTAGGCTTACACTCGAAACAGCTAAAGTTGCCTCTAAATTGAAGAATTTATATTGTGCGTTGCCTTTAGGAAAGTGCTTAAAGCACTAATAGTGCAAAGAACAAAGTTCCATTTGTGATCCTTTCACTCCCCCCCCCCCTCTTTCCAGCTTCCTGCTCTCCCCTCTCAATCTCTCGTGCTCTCTTTCTCATCTCTCTGTCTTTCTGCTTTTCTCACGTTTAAAAAACATGACTTTTGTTTTTCAAACATCTCTCTAAATGTCTAAATTATGACTTCCTCCACAGCCGATGGCTTTGACTTCCGGATGAACAAAGAAGTGTACAGAGAAGGTGTGGGGACTTATTCTTCTGTAAGTAAAGGCGTCAACTCATTTCATAATGTGATATCTCTTTGACTGAATCTTGAGGAAAAAGCAATAAAAGATACATTATGTAGAGACAATTGTTACAACAATTAAAAAAAACCCTCTTTTGTCTCTTTCCTGGACTATTTCACTCTCTGGATGTTGCACATTTATTGAACAGCATGTCCACAATACTATATAAGTGTAGAACATTTGAACAACTTGTCCATAGTATGTTTTTACAACTCAGGAATACATTACACATGAAGGGTTTTAGCGCACCATCTCTCAGTTTATGAATACTTCACTTCTCAGTGATGGTGTAAAGCTCTAAACGTGTACATATAATATTTAAAGACCCCCCCCCCCTTTCCCAAACACATTTTGTACGTTACGTAGTAATACCCATCCCCTTTCACACAAAGACCCCTTCTGATTTAAATGATGAAATAAGACGCAACAGTTAACTTAAAGTAGTTTTGAAAAATCATTTATAGTTTATGTAGACTCCCGATGTCTTTTGAGGACCTGTAGATGAACCTCGGTAATGGTTCTTGTGGATAAATAACGACAAAACAACCCCCCATAATAAGCAATACAAAACAACCCCCCCCAAAAAACCCCCACACCAAAACAACAACAACAAAACAAAACACCCCCAAAAACAAACAAACAAACAAACAAAAACAAGAAAAAGTTCCCCTGTTTCTTTCATTTACTCGGTAAGAGCATAACCCCATTGTTATGTTTCACGTACGTCAAGTTTTTGTGTGTTTCTATTCTGTATGTTTCAGTTCCAGTTTGCGGACCGCGTGGATGAAATCGTCATGGATCATGATCCAAAGAATCCACTCTTTCTCTATCTTGCCTTCCAGAACGTTCACATGCCGCTGGAAGTATGTTTCTTTGTTTGTCATGTTGTAACAGTGAAACACTCAACTATACGTACATTACACCCAACTATACATACAGTACACCCAACTATACATACAGTACACCCAACTATACATACAGTACTGTCAGTACACCCAACTATACATACTGTACACCCAACTATACATACAGTACTGTCAGTACATCCAGCTATACATACAGTACACCCAACTATACATACAGTACTGTCAGTACACCCAACTATACATACTGTACACCCAACTATACATACAGTACTGTCAGTACATCCAGCTATACATACAGTACACCCAACTATACATACAGTACTGTCAGTACACCCAACTATACATACTGTACACCCAACTATACATACAGTACTGTCAGTACATCCAGCTATACATACAGTACACCCAACTATACATACAGTACTGTCAGTACAC